TTTTTTTTGGAGTAAAACCACTTGGGACAATCCGAGTCGACTGAGTGAAGGTAAAACTTTTAAATTCGCGTCTCTTTCAGCCCACGTCTTCCTCGCGTTCTGTATGGAACCCCTGCAATGACAAACACGCATCCGGCAGTGCGCCCCGTCGGCGACGTCTAAGTGCCACGAACGAACGGTCGCAGGTGCTCATGGAGCACCTACTGTGTGCCCAACACTGTCTCCTGCTCTTGAGTACTAAGAAAAAAAGGACAGCATCCTGGTTGACAAAGGGGCTTGAAAGCTTGTGGTCAAGCCAAGATGCCCACCAAAGGTAATAACGGAGTATTAGAATTTATTTGTTTACTTGTCCGTAGGCCAAATCATCACAATCCGGAGGGGCTGCAATTGTATTTTTATTCCTCATGCCATCAGTGCCCTGCACAATCTTAGTTTGGTTTACTGACTTAATGAATCATTGAATAAAAATAGTAAAATACGCTCTGGGGACCATTAGAGAACATCATCGTGTGTGTATATATATATATATATATATATATGTAAGTATATATACACATATGTGTATATATATATATAGATATATAGTTCTCTATATATCTATATATATATAATGGTTCTCTCTCTATATATAATTTGGGAGACATTTTATTAGATATATTTTATTATTTTCTCTTTTTTACTTGGGAGACAGTACATTTAATGAGATCCTATGTCTACTTTTTTTTTTTCTTTCCCTGAAGCAATTTTATATCAGAATTCTATGTCATAGTTAATTTGTGTTGTAGTTGGAAGCAGCAGGTATACTCTGGAATCTGGCGGCACCTAAAACCCTAACAAGCAGCGGGATATACAGAAAAGGGCTGGGCTCTGGACGCAGGCTGCCCGGAGAGCAATTAAGCCCTTACTAGAACAAGTTACCTTTCAAGCCCTGGAAACCAAGGATAAGGTAGTATTACCTGCCTCACGTGGTTGTGGGCAGTAAAAGCGCTAAGTGCATTACGGTGTTTGGCACATCCTATGTGACCTCGGTAATGCACGCCTCCTCCCTGAGCCTCTAAATGTAAAATGAGAAGGGTTAGGACTCTACTTACCTCCGATTTTCTGGTCTAACATCCTCTCCTTTATTGCTTTACTTTTGAGCTGGCTCCTTTCAGGTCCCTGTCCCCATCTCTGTTCTTACTTCTAGGCCTTTACTTTCCAATTTGAAACCTACACGTTCCGATTCCAGCCCACTTGTATTACGAAATTCCACCCTTTGTATTTTGTACACAATCTCCTCCCTTAATAAAAACCATTAAAAAAATATTTTTTTTCCCCCTTCGCTGTACAACCCGCTTCAGTGCCTGCAGCCTACGGGCGGAGGCCAGGCAATGGTTCAAGGCCGCAGTTTGCTCTGGCACGAGGCACAGTGAGAGACCCCGGGGGACGGGTCTGCCATAAACCCAAGTCCATACATTAAAAAATCATTTCAAAGCGAACGCTTTCAGAGACCGAAACCCCCACATAGCCAACCCCGTGGTACCCAGAATGCGTCCCTTCAGCCCAGAGCGTTGCATGCCGGGAGTTGTAGTCCGGCGCTGGAGCCCGCGCCTCCGGGCTTCTCGCGTTTGCGCAGCGGGCGGAAGCGAGGGGAGGCGGGGCGTTGAGGCCGCGGCACGCTCGAAGCCCCGCCCCCGTCCCTTCCGCTCTCCGAGTGCGACCGGCAGTGGGGCGCCAGGCCGCGGAAGGGGCGTGGCCTAGGTCCCGGGAGGCAGCGGTTGCGGCCGCCGGGGCCT